CGCCGTCTCCTCCTTCGTGCGATCTGCCTCTCGCCTGCGATCCTCTTCAATTACCACTAATTGCGATTCGGCCTCAGCACGCTGCGCTCTCAATTCGCCACACTCTGACTGTAGCCTGCGGATTAAATCCTCATCCGCCTGTCGTGCGAGCTGACACTGCTCTAACAACCGCGTCTGTCGCACGAGCTCCTCTGACAAAATCCGATTCTGAGTCTGCTCAGAAATTAGTGCTTCCGTGACCTTCACCTGCTCCTTGGTGAGCTCTTCTAGTTTCCCATCCCTCACCTTTTCGGAGTACTTGTAGAATTTCTGATTGAGTTTATACTGACCCCACAAGCATTCATGCTTCTCCTTCAATTCCCTCAACTCCTGGTCCACTCTAGCTAGTAGCTTGCTGGTGTGGACTTTAGTGCGAGTCCGCCTGCGCACTAATTCGATGTAAGATCCCGGCTGAAGTGGGTCGGCGTATTTATCGATTTTGCGATCCAAGTACCTCAGCAACGGAATCACCTGCTCAGAGAGTGCCGCCGCCGGCGCTCCAACAATTTCCTCCTCCTCCTCCTCGGTATCCCCTGCTCCTGAAATTTCTTCGGTGGAGCCTCCGTCGTCATCATCCGAGTGGAGAATTTCAGTCGCCATTGATTGCGTCGGCGACTGACCCGAGTGGGGCTGCACGTCGTCGACGTGCGCTGCCTGCGAAGGCACCGCTGCAGCCTCGCTGCTCTTTGCCAAAATGTCTAAGGCGGTAGGCGAATGTGCCCGTGCTACATCCCCGCCGCTCGGTTGTTGGTCTCCTACCGTATCCTCTCTGCCGCCGACGTCCGCCGCCGAAGGCGATCGAGCGGAGGGTGGCTGCGCGGGGTTCGATTGCGCATCGCGCACCGAAATTTCATCCCGCGGACAGTCACTCCGCTCCTCCGTCTGTTGCTGCTCCCTCGATCGGTCCGCGGGGGCTGTGCTTGGCCTGTGCGCAGGCGCAAATGCCGGCGCCTTGTCCGCCGCAGGCGTAGCGCCGCGGACGTCCATCGCCAAAGGCGACATGGCCGGGGGCCGCTCGCCCGATGTCCCTTGGCCCTGAGGCCCTACCGCCGAAGGCGCATCTACCGGCGGATTACCCGCCGATGGTGCGGCCTCCGCACGCTCCCTGCTCGTATCTCCTCGGCTCGAAGGCCCTGGCGCCGAAGGCGCAAATCGCGGCGCGTTGTGCGCCCGAGGGTCTGGCCCCGAAGGCTGGTGTCTCGTAGGCGGATCTTCCGCCGGCTCCTTCCCCTTCCTACGTTGGAACGGGGGTGATTCCTGCCTGTGCACAGGCGTCACGTGTGGCGGTGACCTGTGCACAGGCGGACTGCTTCTTCCCACGCGTAGGCGTAGGTCCACGTCCGCTTGTGGTCGTCTGTCCGCGGAGTCTCGTCTGTCCGCGGAGTCTCGGCTGTGCGCAAACGGAACACCTGTCCGCAACGCACGTGGTAACTCCGGACGCCCTTGGCCCGTAGGCGGCCTCTCGTCCGTCGAGGCTGCAGCGTGGTCCGTTGCTCCTGCGGACGTCCGCGCTCCCTCGTTCTTCTCTGGCGACGCACTTCCTTTCTCCGTCGCAATCGTCGCCGTGTCCGCGCTGTTGGCTGGTAACACCAGCCTGCGCGCCTTCTGCTTCGGCCGGCTGTATGACTCGTACAACGGCCGCAGTCGAATGGGAGCAGAGGGTTCTTGATGCTGCTCCTCTTCGGACTCCTCTCTCCATCGCCGCTTCCGCGGCGCTCGTGTTGCAGGAGTGTTCCTCCCTTCGTACCTCCGTCTTGACGGAATAGAAGTCGGTGACTCCTTTGCATCAGTGTCGACCTCATTCTCCCGCATATAATTCCCGGGATGGTCGACGGACAACGGCGGAAAACGCGCAAGCTCCGCCGTTGTCAAACAATTCCGCTCTCGATAAAAATTGATGAGGAAAGGAGAGAGATGGTTTAGAGTTCCCCCCTTCTCCTCAAAAGCGTGCTGTCGCATCATCCGGTGCAGGATGCTCGCCCAGTGAATTGGAGTTCCCTCGATGACACACTCCACAAAAGAGACCTACCACAACGTGATGTAGCAGGCGCGGTGTGGCTGTAGTAATTGAAGCAGCGCCGCGGACAGAGTCCAGCGGAATCGATCCTTGTAATCGCGGGTCCTGTATCCATTCTTGGTAGACCTCCCGTTCTTGAACAGCTCCACGAATTGTGCCTCTTCCTGCTTGGTCACCTTGATGCTCTCACTGTCGAAGAGGAGGTGCCCTGGCATGCCGGCACATCTCCCCAATGCCTGCGCCCAGTCTTGGACTGTCCACCGATCAACATGAGGACGCAATCCGCGCGAAGGCGGTCCCTGTGGCTCTAGCCACTCGCGCACCATATCCGCACAGATGTAGTTCCATCCCCATAGCAAGAAATCGAGCTTTCTTGCTATCAGGCGCTCCTCGAAAGCGCGCAGCCCGTTCTGTGGTAGACAGAGCGGCAGCCTCCGCAATCGGCCCGGTCTCGTCATTGCGTTCTTGGAGTTCGCTCGCCCGCTCATTCTACTTCCGCTCCGTTCAAGCTCCTTTCTTCCTCGGCAAACTCTAATCGCCCTCAATCCCAAATCACGTGCACTCACTTCTCCCTCAATCACCAAGAAATCCTTTGCGCGGCGATGTCGAGAATGCTTAGCAGCTAGCAGATGGACGCGCGCAGCTCGCACTAGAGAATGGAATCGCGAATTCAAGAATGGGACGCTCTCCGCCGCCCGGTCGAAGGTCATTGCGTTCTTGCTCGTGGAGGACGACTCAATTGATGGCCGCGCCGGCTCTACGCTGAAACGGTCTTCGCTCTCACGCACGGCTTCACGCTCCGCCGTCGCCGATTAAACTCTCACGCTCGAATTGGCGAATTTGAACTCCACAAGCGTACTACGCCGCGGACATGGGTGCACAACGCCGAAGGCGGATTTTCCGCCTTGCGCGGTACACTCGTTCGTACCGCTCCTCAGCCAATCCTCTTCTGCCTCGGCGCGTGTCCGCATGTCGGACAAAAGTTCATATCCCGCCTGCGCGCAGGCGGACTCCTCGGCGGATTCTCCGCCGGCGCGGAACTTCATCCTCCTGTGCACAGGCGCTCGCCTGTGCACAGGCGAAGTCCGTCCGCGGCGATGCGCTGGCGCGGAAGGCGTTGACCGCGGTCAACCGACTCCGTCCAGACTGTCCGTTCCTTGTCTCTTCGCCGGCGCTCCCGCCGCCGCAACTCCGTCCGTCCAAGAGCGCATTCATCCGTCCCGTCCGTGGAGTCTGCACGGTCCGTACGGATTTTACTATTCTGGCGGCTCCTTGCTCGTCCGCGGCGTTGCGCTGGCGCAGAAAGCGCCGTACAATTTCTACCTCACAAGGCGCATTTTTAGGGCCCAAGGCGGATTTCCCGCCGACGCCGAAGCGCCTGTGCACAGGCGCACACCTGTGCGTAGGCGAACTCCGCGCCTACCTCCAACCCTATTTCGCCTGTGCACAGGCGAACTTCCTTCGTCCGCGCATAGGACAAAACTTCTCCGCCTGCGCGCAGGCGAAGAGCTGAGTATCTTACAACCTTCATAACTCCCGGAATCCTTATCCGTTGTTGGCGTTCTTGGGCTCGTTGGAATCAGCGCATTGAGCTCTTTCCAACGAGACCCTAACTAAGTCAAGACGTTTGGGGGTGGACCTAAGTATGAAGGATTTCCCTACCGTCGCGGACGCAGCTCCGAAGGCAGATTTTGCGCCTTGCGCCGTAGGGATCCTAACCGCAGAGCTCGCAGGGAGGGTGGTGCCCGTCCTTACCGCTGCACCCAACTCCTAGGTTCTACGAGGTCCCTCGAGAATCTCTGCGATCTTCTGAATTCACTCTGTTTTGATGCACCGAAGGCTATTTACATTGCTGTCAGGGTACAGTTTTCCAAAAATGTTTTAATTTCCTCATAATTACCAAAAGTGGGATACCACATAGGTCGTTATCTTATTCCTCGTAGGATTTGACACATGCTCCTTCTCCTCGTGTACTTTGCTTAAGGTTTCTACGAGCTGTAAGTTTGGCATCTGTTAAAGCCTGCCAACGGAGTAGCACAACTACGTTAAACTTTGTAACAAAGAAGCAAAGTTATTTCTGGTGTGAGTAAGTAAGAGTAGGAACGGGATGACTATCGTTTAATCACTGCAGATTGTTTAAATATGAGCCCATGGAGCTCTTAATAATCAAAGGCGAGCTTTACTCACAATGAACCGTCCCTTAGGTAAGTGAGGAAGAAGACCAGTGTGAGTCATTAGCGCCTGACTGCCATATAAAGACAGCCTCTGGGTATGGCTCGACGTTTATGAAGGATCCAAAGCCTTATCGATATATTTGGTTCAAAGGTTCACAACCAGTGACCTAGTTTGTGACTCGTATGTTTCTTTTTTATAACTAAAAGCTCCGAAAAGATCTCCTTCACAGGGAAGAAAGTATACTATATTATAGAGATGATCTTGAGTCTTCCATCTCATCTTACTTCCACTTCTTCCCTGTAGATACTATGGCGCAGATTCTCCGATCTTCAGGCAATGACAGGCAACTCATAATAAGTTCAATTTTCTTGAGACTCGGATCTCAAGGTCTAAACTTGTACACGAAATTTTTTAGAAGCAGCTCTTTTGCACTCTGCTCGGTCCTCATCCGGAGTTGAGGATAAATTTAAAATGTTTAAACTTTGACACCAACATAGTGTGCTGGATATACAGAATAAGTTTTTGGTTTAATTCACGATTCACCCAGCTCTCCATGTATAAGTGTAAAGCATACGTATTGATGAGTCAAGTCTAAGCTTACATGGGTTGCAGTGAAGCACCGCAACGGCCATCCAGATGAAAGCAACTGCAACAGTTCCTCCAGCAAGACCATCCCAGCCGTCAGTAAGATTAACACCATTGCTCATGGCAGTACAGCAGAATGATGTCAAGGCCATATACCATTTTCCAATATACAGAAGTCCAACGGGAGGTTGTAGTGGAAGTGTATTATTTTTGCAGTACATAACACATTGCCAGAATAAGTACTGTGATGTTTCAAAAGAAAGATGCAAAATCCCGCCCATCCTTCTTGAAAACTGTTTGAAGTTTGGACGACTGTATGAAGTTTGAAAATTAATGGCCGAATAGGTCTCATGTAAATATCCTATTCTAAGAAGGGGGTAAGTTCAATTTGCATTTCTGGAAGTATTCTTGACGAAATACACTAAGGTACAACTGCTGAACGTCTTAGTCTACCATTGATCTCATTCTAGCACTGAAGATGAATTTATGACAATAGACGAACGAACTTTAATGGCTAAGTTAACAACAAATAATGCAGACCAGAGCTTATGCACCTTTCCCAGTAAAGGTGTGACTAGAAAGAGGCCCACATTTTATAAGGAGACGAAACATTAGCTGACTCAAGCCAACGGAAAAACAAGATTCCGGCGACAACCTGGCAACAAGCCACATGTGTGGATCTTAGGCGGGAGAGTAGCATATTTGCTTTCAGACGAACACTACTGCAGATGATGATCAGGATCAAGTAGCGATTAATAAGGGTAAAAAGAATCACCTGCAAAGTGAATTTGACCTTCCCCGGAAGCCCATAGTTGTGTTTCCGGAAGAGAGAGAGGCCATCATCCAGCAGCCCAATTCCAGCGTAAACCAGTGTCATCGTCATTACTCCATAGACTTCGACGGACGAGGCCCGGTTGAAGAGTCCAGCGACTATTACACCCACTGGGATGAAAAACAGTTCACCCATGGTTGGAGTGCCACCTTTGACAAAATATGTCATTGGTCCCTCTTTGCGGAGAATTTGAGCAGCTTTTATTGTTCTGAGTATGGAAACGAAAATATAGCCCATGATAGCAGTTATCGTGGCGGAGAACAGGAATGGTAGAGTGAGATAGTACAGGCCACCGGTCGTTCTTGACATGCTCGACATATAAGAGTCCACGAACAAAAGGGATCCACGAGTACAAAGTACCCACCTACCGTCCATGTTGCATGTCTGCTGCTTACATAGCAAGAAAATGTCAACAAGAAGAAAATGTATGATTCATGAACATTATAAAACAATACAACTAGACATGAACGCCACATGGAGATGTCAGAAACTGACTAAAACTACATCAACTTGGGGTTGTCAGCGAAGACAGACAAATGCAAGAAACTAATTGCTCGAAAGCTAAAAACTGAACTATTATAAAGAATTGATTAGAATTCCAGATGAGCAATATGGACTCCGATTAGTCATACCGGTCCAGGAAAGGTTCCACTCAAATCTAAACCGCCCTACCCTTTTACGACCTTGGCTTGACTTAATCAGGTACATCCCCTAACTTTGAGTACATGCTCGAAGCATTACTAATAGCTACTTTTAGGAACCATTTACAAAAGAACGACACTTCACCGTACTTCGCTTTGACGGGCTTAATCATGGTAAGATTTTAAATATAACGCACCTTGTTAGCAACTCCTCCTTTTCGGAGTCTGGCATCTCAGTGCTCATGGATACGGGAAGTGCAGCAGGTTTCTCTTCCTCATTATCAGTAACCTCCATCGGCCCATTTGTGTGTTCATCTGTAGGAAGCTCTTCGGCCTGACGTCAAACGCTGATGAGAACGACGTGAAGATCCATAATATTTGATGCAAGTGGGCAGAAATTGCAAACTGAACTGGTTAAACTTCAACAAATATACTGGCGATAAATTCAAGTAGAACTGAATTCCTGCGGAGATTCCTATTCGAACTACCGAAAAGCTAAACCTGGTGGAATCTTCAATACAAGGACAAATGTTTCTGGTATTAGTTTCACAGCGCATTCCTCAAGTACTGTCAACGGAGCTTGCGCTTCAAACATCTGAAACTACCTTTCGCAGTCTAGATGCGAAATTAAGTTTACCTCATTGACGGAAGAGAAGCAATGCAGAGCTCTTTTCTTTCTTCTCGCCCCTGACTCGATTACACCCCTGGTCAGGTTTTGCACACGAGGGGAAGATAAGTAAAACAACAAGAGGGTTGTGCGTAACTATCAAAGAAACCAAAAAAAGAACAGCGAACGCTTCAGCAAGCCAAGAATTGCCTACCTGACTACTCGGGCTGAAAAGTAACAGAGTGGAGGTCCCGCTCGAGCGTGCTGTCGAGCCTCCTCTGAGTCCCCGTGTTGATATTAATGCTCGACCTTGTAGATACTACTGAACGAACTATTTATATAAGAGATAAATTTTATATGACAGCAGCAATATATTTTGCTGGAATTGACTTTCATAAACACTAAATAAGGAGCAATTATTCATTATGACACAAAGATATAAAAATCTAGGAACATAGATAACATTTATTCAATTCTACTTCATACTTTCTTGAGAAGTGAGAATACAATGAACCACCAAATTGTGTAAATTGAACAAAATGTATGTGAGCATTAAAGTATCAAAAAAAAATTTCAATTTTATCTTGATATTTGAGAATATCCATTACAAGTCAAAGGAATGTTCAACTTTGATTGCATGTATATGTGGAGTACATCTGCATGTACAATTGCCAAATAATTGTAAAATACTCCTATCAATCCAAGACAATATCAATGATATTGTTTTCAACTATCTTGACTTCCCAAATGTATCATAGAAAGAAATTCAGATCTGATGAATGTAATAATGACTCCAAAGACTCTTACTACTCATCTATTTTTATGATTTCAAGTAAACTTCACCAAATTAAACCCTCGTATTTCTCCAATAGCATTGCTATCATGTTTCCAAGTTTCCACAATTTTGATGATGTCCGACATCTTCCAAATTGGATGTGCACTCATATACTTATATATTTATATACGTTTATCTACGTGATATCACGTAGATAAACAACAAAACCTGATGTTTGAGCTTCTTTGACTTTTGTAAGCTCCTTACTCCTTGCTTCATCTTGTTAGAGGTGTAAGATCAAGATCTAAACAAATCAAATGTCTCATGAAAATGTTCGTATTAACTATAATAGTATGACGTTGAGCTTGATCAACAAACTTAACAATAATGGCACGAGGATGGGCTTACTTGTTTCCAATACAAAAAGCTTGAGCCAAATCTGGATTAGAAACATGAAGTGTTTCAACCAAGAACTTGATGACAACACTCTTCATCTCTTCATTCAAGTAGACCAGAAATCCTCACATTCATTGTACAAAAAAATTGATTTGTCTTTTCAATCTTTTGCTTTTGACAAAAAAAGATATGAATAGACTTGATAGCTTTAGTATAAGACTTCATTTTCATCTCTAGAGTTTCAACCACTTCATGCAATCAAAAGTTGTCAAAAGTTGAAGCTTGAGAATCAACCTACTATTGAATGTCCTCAACAGATCCAGAAATGTCAACCATGATCATCTCAAAACTTTAGTGTGATACCTTTGATTCTTGAATTTGATTATGTGCAGCAGTCAATGCAGCGTTTTGTACCTTGAAGTCTTGGCGGACCATTTCTTCCAAAACTGTTTGTAGAATATTGTATATGTTGTCTTGAGAAACCATCGTCTACACAACTTTGCAAGTTCTATAGTTCATTGTGATTGAAAATTTTCAAGCTAGTTTTTTTTGCCAACCTACTCTAACTCACAAAATTTCAACTCAAAATGACATTCCAGCGTGAAGTTATGGATACATTAATATCTAACCTCCATAACCTAAACTCACAGCTCCGAATTTGACAACTTTTTCAAAGCAACTTTTTTGTGGTTGAAACTTTGCATGCATGTGCGCCCAGCTAAATCTAACAATTTCACGAAATTTTAGCTTTAATTGACACTCCAATGCAAAATTATGGCTATTGCAAGATACAGACTCCACAACCTGAATTCAAAGTTCTTTGACAACTTTAACGCATATGATTAAAGTCTTAATTGATCAATGTATTTAAAATTTCTTCTTTATTACCACAGAATATCATTTCTCAAATATCATTGCTTTTTAATTTTGTTTGAAATATATTTGCACTTTCTCTTTAGATCAATCCCAATTTACTCTCAATTATCTTGAAAAAGAATTTTAATGCTATTATTAGAATTATACAAGTAAAGTATAAGTTGACTTCAACGATCAATGAAAATCAAAGTACATGGGAAACAAAAAGCTTAAAAGATAAAAAAAAGTCGTAAATACTTTTAAACTCTGAAGTAGCAATGAAAGAAGACATTCATTGACAGTAACTATCTCTTATAAGAGGATAGCAACCGTCCGATGCCAGGAAGAGAGCGTCATGCTATTGACACAATTCTGTCGAAATCCCAAGAACCGGGATCTGAAGGTAGTCTAACCTCCACACTCTTGCATCGAAATCTATCTCCTAACTTCTATGAGACTTGTTGGAAGATTTAAACTTCTTCCTATGCAGCATATCTAGAGAGTTAAATCTCCCAATAATGACACATATAAGTTCTAGGGTTTCATGTCATTATTCAAAGATGCCACTCACATGAGGTTGCACGGTTTTTGGGGATCCATCTCATTCAAATAGTTTGTTGTTTTGCACGTTCTTTGGCGAGTTGTTTTCCTTCGTTTTTTTCTCTCTCAACGCTGTCGTTGTTGTTGTGCACACATGTCTAAATATAAGAGGACGTGAAGATGAAATTGGCGGTTCTGAATTTTTTGAATCATCATGAAATCACCCATGGACAAGCAACATCAGCATTTTTGATGCCACATCCAACTGTTTTGAAAATATGGAAGGACATAGAGGTTATTAAAAAAGTGGCGTTACAATCAAACCGAGACAAGTTCAAAAAGATTTCTACATCAACGCGTGTGAAACTCCTTACTAACATGATGCATCAATGTCATATTTGTGTTGAGATTAATGCGCTCACGCTTAATGTAACAGGCGAGATGCTCAAGCATAAAGCTCTATTTTTTTGAGATAAGATTTTCCTTGACTTTGCAAAATGTTTGATTTTGTCATATAAAATTTTCCTTGAGACATTTGTCGAGTCCAATGTATGGCTAGAGAAGTATCTCAAACGCATCTCAACATTCAATAAGAGGAGATGCGGAAATCAGAACAATCTCTATCTCATATAGCAAGAGACATGTTTGCATCAAATTTGCTAAATTCGGATCGATGTACCACTCGAATGCATCATCAACATTGATAAGTTGGTTATCAATGTTTGTGGAATATCATCAAGATCATATTGCATAATCAATTTGGATGGCTGTGAAGTTCAGAGAAGCAAAGAACAAATCACAAGGACGCTTAGAGTTAACGCTTTAGGTGAAAAATACACCACCCAGGTTATCACGAAGAGTGCTTGTCCACGTGCTTGAAGAATAAACTGGACATCAGTAATCCTTTGAAATTATCAATGATCATCAAGCTAAAGCATGGCATGTTGCATCATCTTGTATGCGTCTTTTTCACAAGTACAACAAAATTGCCAAGAACCGCAACCGCATCTTCTAGATACTTCAAGACAACTATTCATCTCATGTTTGTGCGTCCAAAATCTTAGAATCATTCGGATCAACATAAACTTTTATTTTATTTCAGAACCTGTGCGTCATTTTTTTTTCCGCCAAATGCTATCAGCGAATGTCAATCTTTCAATCAAGGTATCATTTGATCTTTCAAAGCTCATTTTTGTCGTGCTCAATTGAATCATTTAATGTCTGAGTACAAAATATGTCAAGCGAGTGAACGTGTATCTTATTGTTAGAGTCGGATCAATGATCATACACATCTACGCAACGTACTTGATTGGGTGAAATCAGCATTGAATGGCATTGAAAAAAATACTATTCAACAGTGTTTTTTTACAGTCAATTGTCTGACTTTTGTATTGAATGTGATTTCTAATCAATATATTGACGATCTGCTATCAGTTCAAATCAAGCCGTGGATGATTTGGTAAAAATCTGCAAAAAAATTGACTGAATCATTCTTTTTCGGAGTCTCTTGGTCTTGATGACACAAATATTGAAGAAGCTTCCAACAAATTTTTTAATTGATGTTGTTGATGCTACTCGCAAGGATCATCTTGATAATAATAGCATTGTACAATCGAAACTAGAACAGCAAAATCTCCTCTAGAGTGCTAGCAATTCAGATGATGATGATGTTGATGACAATCCGCCTTTGGTGATTGTGGAAAAGCCAAATCAGGAAATCACTGATTTGATTATATATTTTTTGATTGAATCATCGTTATCGACAGAACTTCAGAGTAGCTTGCTTTTTGATCTCCAAAGAGCTTGTCGTCCGTTGATTCATCAACAGAAAATTGAGAAAGTTAGACTCTTGAAATAATCAATAATTCAATACGATAAATTGTAGAAGTAATTTTTGAATTGAATTCCTATAAACAGTGAGTTTCAAAGTTTTGATATTGACATTTTGTTGATGTTTTTCTAAATTCATGTTTTGCAGATGTGAAATTGAATGAAATTATGTTGATGATGTTGATATTTGTTGGATTACATGACCGTCACGTCTCCTCTTGCTGACTCTAGTCAGTGCAACAACAAGAAGTTCAATTTTTCTTGATCTACAAAATGTTTCTTATGTCTAAACTTCAACGTCCGTGAATAGTGAAAATTCAATTGTTTGATGTTCAAGATTTCTAAAATTTCTATTACCGAAGAACTCTGTACTCTACTGTATATCAACGATTTCTACTACATAAGATTTCTAAGAGTTTTGTACTCGACTGTATATCGATGATTCTTGTGCTTTTGAATGCGTGTGGATCAACAATTACTTCCTCGCTAGAATGAGCTATTCTGCTCGTTTGGTCCTTCTGTCTATATTTGCTCCCACAATATGAAAACGGTAATTCTTTGCGTTTTATAGTTGTGTAACCCAGTACTCTACATGTGAAGTAGGCTCCGAGCAAGTGGGTTGTCTTTAGATATATTCATCACCATCACCATATATGTCTACTAACCCTTCTTCACGATCAAGGTGTACAAGTTTTGGAATTTCTCGTCTATGCTTCCACTCTACACTCGCACTGAGTATGGTTCAATTTGAACAATAGAACCGGATTCACGACCGACTTATCCTTGCTGATCGAAGGTGTAATAAATGAAGCTTGGGAAACTATAGCCATGTAGCAAACATGAAGAGAAGGTAACAAATGTTGTATGTAACGAGGTTCTTCATGAATTAATTATGATGACTTTTTG